AAGATTAGAGTTGAGATGTACCTCCTTGTCGGTATCCTCCATAAATGAGCATTGGTCAACTTTGGGTGGAGCTTCTCGGGCGTTGTTCATCGTGAAGGTAGCCATCTCCCCATGAGCCGAGACAGTGACTCGTCCCTCCTTGACATCGATAATGGTGTTGGTCGTCGCCATGAAGGGTCGCCCAAGCAAGATAGTGTGCTCCTTCCCGGTATTCGGGACATCTCCAACGTCAAGGACTACGAAGTCGACCGGTACAACAATCGAGCCCACTTTGACCAACACATCTTCAATAATGCCCTTCGGTTCCTGTAAAGTACGGTCCGCCAATTGGAGGCTCATCCGAGTCGGTTTAAGCCCTTGCAAACCTAATTGCTTGTAGATCGAGTAGGGCATGAGGTTTATACCGGCTCCCAAGTCTAGCATTCCGGTCGTGGCCTTCCCATTTCCAAATGTGATCTTCATGACGAAAGCTCCCGGATCGCACTCTTTCCTAGGTATAGTAGTCGAGGCTACCTCGGAAATCATGACTTTCTCATTATCCCCGAACTTCCTCTTCTTGGAGGCCAAATCCTTGAAGAATTGCACGTATGCCGGGACATTTCGAATAACCTCCAAGAGAAGATGATTGACATTTACCTTCGAGAGCATATCGAAAAGGTCTTTGAATTGATGATCTTTCTTTGTATCTTGCAATCGACTCGGGAAGGGAACCGGTGGTCGGTAGGGTGTACTTGCTTTGTGCAAAGCCTCACGGGCATCCTTCTTGGGGTTCTCCTTCTCGACTTCCTCATCAACCACATTTTTCCCTTTAGAAACATCAACCCTCTCACTCGGTTCATCATCATCCTCAACAACTATCTCCTCTACTACTTCATTTGCCTTTGGCATCTCCACACAATTATCAACTTTCTTACCGTTCCTCAAGACGGTGATGGCGTTCAAGTGCTCGGGTTGGCTCGGGAGTTTGTCTTTCATCTTGCTCCTTTGGATATCCCCGATGGAACTCCCGAGTTGCCCCATTTGAGTCTCGAGGCATTTGAGAGAGGCTTGAATCGATGGCACTCCTTTGACGGTGTCGTGCAACGTTGAGACGGTGGAGGCCAATGATTGAAGACACTTCTCCAAGCTCTCGATCCGAGTCTCCGAGGGTTCTCCGTTAGCATTTCTTTCGGACTCGGGTGGAGGCGGCAAAGGTTGCCTCGGAATGAAGCCTCCACGCCCTTGTGGATATCCTTGGAACTCGGGCCTCGGTTGATAGCCTTGGAATTCGGGTCGTGGTTGGAACGGTGGTCGGTTGTTCGGTTGAGCATATTGTTGAGGTTGGGAGTAAGCTTGTTGTGGTGCCGGTTGTGGTGGGTAGATGGCTTTCGGGTCCCTCCATGAGAAGTTAGGGTGGTTTCGCCACCCGGGATTGTATGTGTTCGAGTAAGGATCGTTTTGGACCCGGGGGGGCGTACCCTTGGATAGCGTTGATGTCGTAGGGGACTCCTTCAAGATTTGGATCGTAGGCCGGCACCATATAATTCGGACATTCGTGGCCTCCATGGCCGGCCTCTCCACAATAACCGCACACCTCGGCCATCACTACTTGGGTCGACTTTGCATCTCGTAGCCGGAGTTGTTTGAGCTCTTCTTCTAACGAGGCAAGCTTAGCAAGAACAGCATCGTTCGAGGACCCGGTTGATGGTGTAGCCTCATCCACGGGGGCCCTCTTACGAACGCTCTTTCTTTGCGAATTTTCACTCAACATCTCGTAC